CTTGAAGATCAGCCCCTCTTCTTGGTGAGGCTGATGGGGGAGGGGTACACACCACCCTCAGTCCCCCCATAACGCCCTGAACCTGCACTCACCGAGGCTTTACACACAGAGTCGGCATGAAATCGACTAAAATTGCTTTTGTTGTAGACGGGCAATCCTTTCAAAAAATCTGCCTAAAAGACAGGGAAGATGGTAAGTTAGAAACCCAGCAGGGGCCAGCCTCTCCTGAGCACCTGTGGGCGGGGCTTCCAGGTGACTTCTGGTTTACTTCTGCTCCACTGTAAGTTTCCCAGAACCCATGCTTGAGCTGGCTACCTGATGGACACACTGTAATCACCAGAAAAAAAGCAACCAACCCCAAGAGAAGTGCAGGTCCTCACAACAGCCCTGAAATCCAGCGAGAGGTGAGGAAACTGAGGCTGAGAGAGCACAAGTCACTTGTTTAAAGTCACACCATGAACAAGCAGCAGGGAGGGGCGTTGGACCAGGCTATCCAACTGCAGACATGCCCTCTGTGCTTTTTGACTATTAAACTTCCAGTCTTGTTTCTGTTTATTCACCTTTAACAGAGACACAGATAGAGAAAGTCTTATCCACCCTAAAAAACCTCTAGGGCCAGTGTGACAATAAACAAGGGAAGAAAGCAGGAGCCTAAATAAAGGGGATATGGTGGCCGGGACAAGGGGCTGCCAAGACACAGGACTGGGAGCCGAGGGTCAACTAAGCTTCTTAACTCCAAGAAAACTCAGAAATCCAAGTTTAATATGTCAATATCAGGTTTTTAGAGTTGGCTGGGCTTTTCATAAAGTGCTGTATAGACCAGGGTCAGCTCAGGGGCTGCTCCTGAGATCCCGATATCCAAAGGCTGCCCAGTGAGGGCAAAAGGCCTCCTGGGGCAAGGGCCAGACGCTGAGAAGGATCAGGCTGCTCCTCCCTGATGCCTGCTGCCTCGGGCACGTGGTCGGTGCCAGAGGTCCACAAGATGCCGGGAAGCCTGCATCAGAATTCATCCATAGCCCAACTCCTGGAAAGTCGTTTGTCCCTGACACTCTGGCATCAGCTGTACAAGCAAGGGCAAGGGCTCTGGAGCAGAAGGACCCTGATTCTGGGGCAGGGAGTGGAGAGGGAGGCTGAATCTCAGCCATAAGATGAGGATATAAAGGCCAACAGGAGCTGTGTCTACCTCAGGAAACTGAGGCATGAGAGCTGGGGGTGCGAGGGCAAGGATCAAGGCCTAGAGCTGGGGGCAGGGAGTGACTTCCCAGCAGAGCAGTTCGATTCTCCTCAGGCCTGGAGTGGAAGAGCCGGGGAGGGGTTCCCCATGTGGCCTGCCTTGGGCCTGGGGCTTCCTGATCTGGAGTCGCCATCATAAAGACAAGGAAACAGACAAAAAAAGTCACACTGCACTCATCCGAGGTCATCCAGCTCCAACAAGAAAATGAGGAAGCCTATTTGAACTCAGGTTTGTCCAACCTCAGAGGCCAAGCTCCTATAATGGGACATGCCAGCACCTCAGTTTCTCTGTCTGAAATCCAAGGGCTTAGAGCCCCTGCAGGCTATGTTAACCACCCACCTGGGCAGAGGTCCATCCCCATGCTGAGCCTGGGTGCTACACCCTGAGGGAAGCCTCTGTTCAGGTGATCTGCCACCACCCTCTGGGATAGGTGGTAGCAGGTATCCTCACCTCTGGAGGAGCCCCAGTAGACCTCCGTGCAATGGACTAGCCAGGGACACTGGAATGTAGACAGGTCTCCTGCTCCCACACAGGAAGTAGCCCTCCCATTTGGGTGACCTACTGCTCCAGAGTCAGGTCAGAGCCCCACAACCCTGACTCCCCTGACCCAGGAACCCACCCCAGCTCAGTCCCAGACTGTAGCTTCATACAGCTAGTCAGGCTTTCTCAGGCCCCCACTATGTAGTAGGCCCATGCCCGGCACCAAAACACCAGGGCACCAGAGGCATGGAGGATTGGGGCATAGCAGACCTACTCTTGGCCCCAGGAGCACCCAGTGCAGGGAACACAGGTGTGGATCAAAAGCAGCATAGTGAATGTAAAGTGGCCCTGAGAACAGGGTGCCCTGAGATGCTATGTGAGGCCCAGGACAGTGGGGGAAGGTCTGCTGCTCTGAGGGGTCACAAAGGGCCGACAAGAGGCAACACATAGGGTCTGAGACCTAAAGCATGAGGAGGGAGATTCCTGTCCCGACTCAAAGCCCTCCATGGCTCTGGCTGGGCTTGGTCCTTGCTGGCCTCCTGCCACACACACCTTTAGCCCACGCTGTGCCACCATCCAGGAATGCTCCATCTTCCTCCATGTGGGAAACACCTGCTAATCTCCACACCCAGCTCAACCCCCTCCCCACACGTTAGGGTTTTCTGCCAGAGCTGTACTCACACCCCAAGGAGGTCACCTGTTTACATGTCTACCTCCCTCGCTGGACTGTCACCTTCCTGAGAAAAGAGGGCGAGACAAAACTCCACCCTGGGCCCCTGATGGCGTTCACATGGGGCTAGTGGAGAGTGGTAAGAGGTTCAGGAGCCTCAGACCTGCACTCAATCCTGGCTGGGCCCCTCTTTGGCTGTGTAACCTCCTAGCCTGGCCTCCTCCCTAGTGAACCAGGGGGGTCGCAAGGGGCCCCCTTCCAGGGCTGTTCTGAGTCTCAGTAAGGCAACACAGGGAAAGAACTTTGCACAGAGCTCCCTGAAAGGTAGCTGTTAACATCAACACGTTTGTGCTTAATAAATGAATAAAGACAGGGTTTGGCCTGTACTTCCTGTCAGCGAAGCAGGGAAACAAGGCCTCAGACACAGAGAGAAATCTTCACCTCGGCCAGACAAATCCTAAACACAGCTGGCCCCAGAAGCCATCCACTGCCTTAGCAAACACTCATTGAACATCTGTGTGCCAACCCCCTTTGTCAGCCCACCAGTGAACCAACCAAAGCAAGGGAGGAGAGACATTGAGGCCTCCCACAGTCATGAAAGGGCCCTCTGAGAAGGTGATGCTCACAGGAGGAAGAGCATTCCAAGCAGAAGGGGCAGCAGATGCAAAGGCACTGGGGTGGCAGAGACATGGAGTGTGAGGACATGAAAACAAGGCCAGTGTGCCTGGAGCTTGTGGAGGAAGGGGTGGAGAGGGTGTATATGAGGTCACAAAAGTGGGTAGGAGCCTTAGGAGCGGGGGAATGGGGTCGGGGGAGCTGGAGTTTCATCTGGGTTACAACAAAAAGCCCCTGGAATATTTTATAAGTTAGAAAGTGTTATAATCTGATTTACATCTTTAAAAGCTCCCTCTGGTTCCAGGTGACTTACAAACTGCCAGAGGGCAGGGTGGAGGCAGGAGTCCAAACAGGAGGTGGTAGTGCCTGGACCAGGGTAGGGACCTATGGACAGATTCAGGATGCATTCCGGAGAGGCAGAGCCAACAGAACCCTCTTATGGACTGGGCCTGGGCAGTGAGGATGCAGTGATAAATCAAAGGCAATACTCAGGCTTGAGGACCCACACTCTAGGAACCCATTTTCCCATCTCCTTCCTGACCAGAAGTCTTCTTTTGCCCATCCCCCACCACATCCCAAGGACTGTGATTTGTGGGCTGGGACTCTGGATCCAGGAACAATGGGGTTTTAACTTGTCCTGACAAAAGCTTCCATCAGCCCTGTCAGCCCTGGGCATGCCAAAGAGTGAAGGGTGGGGGGACCACACCTCAAAGAATCACCATACCCAAATCCCAGGATGATCAAGTGGCCCAAAGGGGATTTTAATCTTCCAACTACCAGGTGGCATTATCCCCACTTCAAGATGAGGAGACAGATGGGAGAGGATGTCACCGGACCCGAGTCACCCAGCTCATCAGTTGAGTGTTCACTGCCCTAAACCCTTTACGACGTCGATTCCCTAAATTGTGACAACCCTATGAAATCTAGACTATTACTACCCTCATTTACCAGGGGAAGAACCTGGGGACTGGAGAGATGTAGTTGCTCCCCATTAGGGCAGGTCGGGGCCCGGAGTGGTGGGGGTGGGGTCAGGGCTCTGGGGGACCGGACAGTCCGCGATGTCGCACTTCCTTTGGCGGCTACAATGCCCCGAATGTCACGATGTCAAGCCCCCTCCCCCACTCCGACGCCTATAGGCCGGCCTACCAAATCCTCCCGAAATGGAGATGCCCATGCCCAGCGCGCCCAGGACGAGGCCTGAACTGGGGGTTTCGCGGGACCCCATCCCCACCCCAGGCGACTTCCGGGAGAATCAAGACCCGGAAATGAATGAGTTGTCAGGGCTTGGAATCCTAGATGGGTCA